ATTTGGCCCTTGCCACGTCGTGGGCTTGATCGTCACTGCATGCGTCATCCCAAGTTGAATCCGGGGGACTCCCGGAGCTGTCAGGAGACTTGCCACGTCGTGACACTGCTTGCCACATCGTGGTCTCTGACAATTTTGGGGTTTCGCGCCCCGAACTTCATAAATTCATAACTTTCGCATACGAACTCCGTTTTCGACGTTCCTTATATCGACGCGAAGGTTAGATTATGATATACAACTCTCATTTAGACTCCATTGGCTAATTTTGACTTTATTTTTAATATATTATAAGTATATTACTTATATATTATCTATAGTAGGCCGGGACAGGAAAAACTCCGTTCAAAATTCATAACTCCTTCATCTGAACTCTGTTTTCGTCTGTCTTTTTATCGTTGGACTACTATCGAAGAAATCTTCGACTCTCGTTTAGATCACTAAGGATAGATATCTATCTACCTTAAATTCACTATTTACGTCGCGCTGGGTCATGCTAGGTCGTGTCGGTTCTGTCGCAAAACTTTGACAGGTCATAACTTCTTTGTTATAACTCGGATTTTGGCGTTCTTTATCTGCACGGAAAACTTGTGACATATACTACAACTTGGTTAAGATTAATACTTCTAAATAATATTCCATCAAAAAGTCATTTTGATGCTTATCGTCTCTAAATTGACTAGCCCGGATCTACGGGCGTTACACAACCCAATAATGTTAGTATCATTATCTACCAGTTTCTTACTCATGTTAGATCCAAACCCATCTGGCAATTTAACATCTCTTATAAATTGACACAAGTTTTTGCGGTCAAGTTTCTTGAATGAGTAGCTTGCATGTGGTCTAGTGAGCTTGTTACCCTTTTTTTGCAACCATTGATTACGTTGGATATTTGGATTTCTTAAGTCCCCACGTGCATTTGATGTGTCTTTACTCTTATCATTCATCATAGAAGTACCCAAAAGAGTCTCACCCACATTTTTCTCGACATGCATCACATTAAAGTTGTGCTTAAGCTACAGAGAAGACCAATACTCGAGCTTGAAAAATATGCTATGTTTCGACCAGATCAACTCGAATACTTGCCGATCCATTTTTTCCTTGAGAGTCTTAGTATGTTTACCCGGTTTACGAAGTAGTAGACGACCTAGTTGCTCTTGTATGTCTTCATCAGTAAAGTGTCTCAGAGCGAGTCTTGTCTCGGGTAGCCCGTTAAATTTCAAACTCAACCTTAATAGATCATCAACATCTAAGAACCGACGATGACCGATATAAATGACTTTATTTACTACACGGTGCGAGGGAGTGTCTTCATTGCAAGTCGGGAATGCTTTATACCCTTGTCCGCTCCCACCTAATAAACTACTACAAGTGGGAAAGTCTTCATTGAAAATTGGGAATGTGTTTGTCGCTGCGTCTTTAATACGTACGCCCGAGTGCCATAAAAACTTAAGCTCGTCCACTAACGGCCTATGGAAAACATCTATGTCCTTTCTAGGTGCTCTCGCGTCGGGAATCAACAAGGCCAACATTAATGATGACTCTTTCATACAAAGCCATGGTGGCAGATTGTATGTGGTGAGTAAGACAAGCCACACGCTATGCAGATTACACATGTTACCAAATGGATTAAAGCCATCAACTGCCAGCCCTATACGTATGTTGCGAGGTTCACTCGAGAAGTTAGGGTAATCTACATCAAAAAATTTCAAAGACTCTCTATCAACGGGATGACGTATCACACCATCTTCTGATCTCCCAGTACTATGCCATATCATATTTTTGGAAGTCTACCTTGAACAATACAAACGTCGTAGTCTAGGGGTCATTGGAAAGTACTGTAACACCTTATAAGCCACCTTCTTACCCTTGGTGTTTTTATCAATCCACCGGCTCTCTTTACAAATGGTACAAATTTGCAATGACTTGTGTTCGAGGTTCCTTCATCGATGTTGGTATCATTGTCTCTCAACTCCCACATAACATCATCAATAACATTAGCCATCTCGTCACCTGGAGACATGACATCTACAATCGGAGGAATTAAAGGTTCAACGTGATATATCCACGTTTCGTATGACCGACTGAAACCGTATATATGAACATGACGTCTCATTGCTTTCGGATCCATGATGTAACGATTATCACATTGCTCACATTGACACCTGGTTTCACCTTTACATTCTAGGTGTAACATGGATTTATGGACAAAAGAGTCCTAGCTGGAACTCGGAGATTGACGATGTGGATTAGCAGTCCAACTTTTATCAATAAACAAGATGCAACTGAAACATAGTTTAGTGTTTATGGATTACTGTAAGGGAAGCAAAAATCAAATAGAGTATTCATAAAGTTGATGATTCAAAAAGTATTCAAACACGAGAGTTATTTCTAGTATGATTTTTGTTAGTAGTCCAGCTTTTATTAATATTTTTATTTTTATTGCTTTTTGTTAATTATAACATCATAATTTGATTTTACAATTAATTTAATATTTTATTTTTATTCATTTTTTTAAAATTAATTTAATTTTATTCTATAATTAAATTAAAATTACTAGAAATACGTTGATGTTAATAACCTAATTAAGCTAAAGTTGTAATGATCAATATTAAGTCACTAACAAAATTAAGCACTTTGATTTTAAAATTAAGCTAAAGTTGCATGTGTTGACCTTACAGGGTATCCCCTTTCGTGGGCTTGAGGTCGGGGGGTTTCACGGCAGGACTGACTGCTTTAAAAGTTGCTACAGGCAAAGTCAATAAACATGAGAAATCGTGCACGGAAAATCAACATGTGTTCATACAATCATACCGTTTGCGTTTGATACGTTTAGTTTCCTCGCACCGGATGCATTAGAGCTTCTTAATAGAGTACAACGGATCATGCATTGCAATGGTATATCCCTAGTTCTATGAATGTAATCTTTAAAAGATTGAGCTTTGCTATACAAAAAGGCGTAGCGGCGCAGTTTGTTGCCCGTTGCCAACTCACTTATTGTACGATGATAATTAAATTAAAATAAATTAAAAATAGCTAAACTCAAAATAATAATAATAATAATAATAATAATAATAATAATAATAATAAAAATAATAATAATAATAATAACTTAATTTTGCTTTATAATTAAATTAGTATTTTTATTTTTGTTACTAGTGTTTCTTTTAACATTAATTTAATTTGATTTTATAACTAATTTATTTTATTTTAATATTAATATTAATTTAATTTTCTAATTAATTTAATTTGATTCTAAAGGTAACTTATTTTGATTTTCTAATTAATTTAATATTTTCTTTTTTGTTATTAGTTTATTTTTTTAACTAATTTGTTTTATTTTAACATTAATATAACTTGATTTTAAAACTAATTTAATTTGATATAACAATTAATTTAATATTTTCTTTTTGTTGATTATTTTAAAATTAATTTAATTTTATTCTATATTTAAATTAAAATTACTAGAAGAATGTTGCAATTATTAACTTAATTAAGCTAAAGTTGTAATGACCAATATTAAGTCACTAACAAAATTAAGCACTTTGATTTTAAAATTAAATTAGTTTTATTTTATAATTAATTCAATATTTTCTTTTTCGTTATTAGTTTTTTTTAACATTAATTTAATTTGATTTTATAATTAATTTAATTCGATTCTAATGGTAACTTATTTTGATTTTCTAATTAATTTAATATTTTTATTTTTATTATTAGTTTAATTTTTTTAAATTAATTTTTTTTATTTTAATATTAACATTAACTTGATTTTAAAACTAATTTAATTTAATTTTACAATTAATTTATTATTTTTTTATTTATTTTTTAAAAATTAATTTAATTTTTATCTATAATTAAATTAAAATTACTAATAGTACGTTGCTGTTAATAACCTAATTAAGCTAAAGTCGTAATGACCAACATTAAGTCACTAACAAAATTAAGCACCTTGATTTAAATTTTAACTTAATATAATTTTATAATTAAGTTAATATTTCCTTTTTTTTATTAGTTTTTTAACATTAATTTAATTTGATTTTATAACAAGTTTTATTATATTTTAATATTAATATTAATTTGATTTTATAATTAATTTAATTTGATTCTACAGGTAACTTATTTGGATTTTCTAATTAATTTAATACTTTCTTTTTTGTTATTAGTTTATTTTTTTGAACTAATTTTATTTTAATATTAATATTAACTTGATTTTAAAACTATTTTAATTTGATTTTACAATTAGTTTACTATTTTTCTATTGATTTTTTTAAAAAATGAAAACAATAATTAACCTAATTAAACTAAAATTGTAATGACCAACATTAAATCACTAACAAAATTAAGCACTTTAAAACCATATACAATACATTACTAGAAGTAAGTTTCTATTAATAACCTAATCAAGCCAAATTATAAATCCTAAATATCACATAATCATACATGTATAGAATACATTCAATTCCAATTTTCAGTTCATTTTAGACATATAATACAACTTGCATATTCCAATTTCATACAATTAAACATATAATTTCAAACAAATGTATACATCCAATTTCAAACAAATGCCTACATCTAATTTTAATTTCATACAAATGTATATATACATCCAATTACAATATCCAATTTAAATTTCATGCCAAATTTCATTTTTAAGTTGAAGTGGTATAAACATAAATAAAAAAACATATACATAATGCATAAACACTTCCCTTCCCACAAATCTGAAAAAAAAAAAAAAAAAAAAAAAAAAAAACCATATATAATCCCACAAAATGCATAAACACTTCGACAATCACACAAAAAAAAAATTGAATAATCACACAACAAAATTGAAGAATACTACCCATTTACCACCCAAATTAGCACCAAAACAAAATAATAATAATAATAATAAGAATAATAATAATAATAATAATAAATAGGGAGGAATTCGACCATCAATGTCAAAAATTCGGAATTAGAGCTATAGGTCGCCAGTGATTACCTCTACGTCGCCGGTAATGGAGGTGGTCGGCGGTGTGCCAGTTTTGTTGCGACAGGAGTGGCTGGTGGTCGGCAGTCGCTTGCGTCTCCGGTCCTCAAAGTCCATCGCCGGTTTTCAGTGAGAGATGTTGAAAGGAACGACACAAATGAGAAAAGGAAGTTGATGGGGGTTATCTGGGAAGGCCTTTAGCGGCGACGGGCAATAGCGGCAACGCCTTGGTATTAGCGGCGACACCCTGGGGGAAAAATCAGCGCATTTTTTCGTTCCTTTACGACTCTTCGATTGAAAACAAATTGGACGGACAGGGTTCGTTTGATGCAGATCGCTATTAGGTTGGCATTAGCGGCGACGCAAGGCATTTGAGTGATTATCATATGTGTCTACACTACAAGAAATGTTGGCATTAGCGGCGACATGTAACGTTACATGTCGCCGCTAATGCCAACATTTCTTGTAGTGTAGACACATATGATAATCACTCTCATGCCGAGTGTTATTAATTTGTAAAATTAGCACTTAAAAGGAACATGGTACGCAATTTAGCTTTTTAATATTTCAGAACTGATGCGACCAATTCTTGGCAACATAAAGGAATAAAAGCAGCTAAAAAGCCGGCTGACCAATTTCTTATAATCCAAAGTGATCTGCCATCTATTCATATTGTAGTGGGGCCTAATGGTGTTTTTACGTGTTAGACGGCAATTCTAATAGATAGATTATTTTTCATTCACAACAAGAATTCGGAGTATTAGGGACGACGTTTTTTGGGACGACCTAATCAATAGCGGCGACACCAGACTTGACGCGCTGTATGTCGCCGCTAAAACCACGCCGTCGTCGCTAATAGCGGCGTCGCTAAAGACAGACACCGGTGATCCGTCGGAGATACGCTACTTTCAATCGTGACCCTTGGTTTGGAAAATAATCCAACGGATAGGGTTTAATCCTGTGATAAGGCATTAGAGACGACGCCTTTAGCGGCGACATGTCGCCGCTAAAGGGTCCGATCCGTTAACGCACCCTAAAACGAAATCTGACCCTACAATTCCAACCAAATCCAACGGTTGGTAATCGCCAAAAAGTGCGTGTATGATTCCCTCCAATTTGTCGCCGCAAATAGCCACATGTCGCCGCTATTAGCGTCGCCACTATTAGCGTCGCCGCTAATAGCTTAGCCCTTTATGTTCCAGTTCGTCTTCCCCAGACGCTATTAGCGTCCCTTTTCTTTCAACCGGCGATTCCGCCGACTCCGGCGACTCCGGCGACTCCCAACGCTCTCCACCGCTGATTGGGCTACAAACCCTTCTCCCACCGGCCGATTGTCCTCCAAAACCGAGTCCCACCCACCGGCGGTTTAACTCCAAAGCGAGTGTCCTCCAATTCCGACGGGAGCTTCGATTTCGTGTTCATTTCTCTGGCGAGGTTAGTGTTCTTGCTCATATCTCCGGCCATTGTACTCCATTTAACACCACCGATTCTTATTTGAGTTGATTTCTTTTTTTTTTTTTTTTTTTTTTTTGTTCTTCGTTCCAGCAAGGTTCAAGTTCAGCAGCTTCACCACTGAAAAGTTGTTCTAGCTTTCATTTTGCTGGCAGACAGGTTAGTTTGATTAGTATAATTTGATGTAAACTGTAAAATTGTTTATGAACCTAGAACTGTAAAATTGTTTATGAACCTAGAACTAGAACTATGAATTTGATCTTTTTTTTCAATTGGTTGAATGTGTGTTTAGTTGATTAATTTGATATGTTTTGTATGAATTGAGTAGTGTATATATCATGTATGAGTTTGATAAATTTATATGTGAAATTGATATATATATATATATATATATATATATATATATATATATATATATATATATATATATTTGTGAAACTATTGTATGTTCATCATGAATTTGTATGTAAAATTTAAGAATATTCATATGATCATTAGAAATATATTTTATTGTATATTAAAAGAATAAAATGAATACATCATAATAGATAATTTTTTCTATAAGTTAATGAAGAAACATTCGTAAAAAAGGTTCTTAAAAGAAAAAAAACTAATTAAATAAATAACAAATATATAATATCATTTACAGTAAAATTTAATAATAAAAAAAATTAAAAGTTAAAACGCTACGCTAAATCTATAAGTTATGAAAAAAAACGATAATATAAATAACAAATATATATACTATCGTTTAAAGTATCATGCTATAATAAAAAAAATAATTTAAGAAATATTCGGTTGTTATAAATATTGAATCCAAGTTTTACTTCTTGTAGAGTAAACACTAAAACTTAACTTTTGTTTCAGTTGCAACATGTCTATTGATAAAACGTGGACTACTATTGAAAACCGTAACTCTACCTTGTTCCAACAAGGACTTGAATCTTTTCTCGAGAGGTCCAAACCACATGTCGATAACAAAGGTCAAATTAGATGCCCGTGTAACAAATGCAATGTCAATAAATTTATACTACTAGCCATAATGAAATTCCATATACTTCAACATGGTTTTAGTCCACATTATATTATATGGAAGTATCACGGCGAAAATACAACTCACCCGGTTGTCGAAGACATACCGCGTAGTAACGAGATGGCTGATGTTATTGATGATGTTATGGGAGGTGTGATTGAAAATGATAGCAACTGCAACGAAGGGAACCTAGATACAGACGATAGAGGTGTTGATGTTGGATTTCAAAAGCTGTTAGAGGAAGTCCAATTCAAATTATATCCTGGGTGTTCGTTTTCGTCCCTTGACTTTTTAGCAAAGCTGATGCATATCAAAGTGATCAACAAATGGACTGATAGTTCATTCGATCAGCTTCTTGAGTTGTTGCAAACTGCATTTCCTGAAGGAAATAGGGTCCCCCCATCACATTACGAAGCAAAAAAGACACTTAAAAAGATCGGCTTAGGTTATGAGTCAATACACGTATGTAAAAATGACTGCTTTCTTTTCTAGAAAGAGCACGAGTTGTTGCAAAAATGTCCAGTTTGTAATGAGAGTCAGTGGGTTGATGAAAATACAAAGGGTAAGAAGGTGGCTCATAAGGTTTTACGATACTTTCCTGTGACCCCCAGACTACAACGTTTGTACTGTTCAAGACACACAGCTAAAGATATGATTTGGCATAGTACCGGACAATCCAAAGATAGTACGATGATTCATCCCGTTGATGGTACTTCATGGAAAAAATTTGATATGAAGTATCCTGACTTCTCGAGGGAACCCCGAAACGTACGCTTAGGGCTTGCTGCTGATGGTTTTAATCCGTTTGGTAACATGTGTAATCCTCACAGCACGTGGCCTGTCATACTCACCACTTACAATCTTCCACCATGGCTATGCATGAAAGAGTCATCTTTCATGTTGACCTTGTTGATTCCCGGCCCCAAAGCACCCGGGAAGGACTTGGATGTGTTCCTTAGGCCGTTGGTGGATGAGTTGAAGCAATTATGGAGTTTTGGAGTACGTACTAAAGATGCAGCGACAAATACATTCTTCAATTTGAAAGCGATGTTGTTATGGACAATAAACGACTTTCCTGCTCGTAGTAGTTTATTCGGTTGGAGCGGACAAGGGTACAAAGCTTGTCCGACTTGCAACGAAGACACCCCGTCATACCGAGTATCAAATAAAGTCGTATATATTGGTCATCGCCGGTTCTTAGATGTTGACCATCCATGGAGAAAAAGTTTGGACTATAATGGGAAACATGAGACAAGAGGTCCTCCAAGAAAGTTTAGTGAGGAAGAAATACAAGCGCAACACGCTCGTCTATTGTTTCGTCCACCGGGTAAAGTAGCTGCTCAACGAGCTAGTATTAAGAGAGATCGTGAGGATTTCGAGTTGAATTGGTCCAAAAAGAGCATATTCTTTGAACTTGAGTATTGGTCTTCTCTGGAGCTGAAGCACAACTTCGATCTTATGCATGTTGAAAAAAATGTCGGTGAGAGTCTTGTGGGTACTTCTCTGATGAATGATAAGTCGAAAGACACATCAAATGCTCGGGCGGACTTGACAAAACTGAACATTCGGAAAAATCTATGGTTGAAAAAGAATGGAAACAAGTTCCATAAACCCCATCCACCTTACTCGTTCACGAAAGCTGACCGCATTCGTTTTTGTAAGTTTATAAGAAATGTGAAACTGCCAGATGGGTTTGGATCTAACATCGGTAAGAAAGTGAATGAAACTAATACTAACATTATTGGGTTGAAATCTCATGATTATCACATTCTTATGCAACGTTTGTTACCCATTGGAGTTAAAGGTCTTTTGGGGAAAGGTGTTTATACACCAATAATAGAGCTTTGTATGTTTTTTAAGCAACTTTGCTCAAGAACATTGTTAGTGAAGGATATGAAAGAAGCGAAACCAGCCATTATTAAAATATTGTGCAAATTAGAAGTGATCTATCCTCCTGCGTTTTTTGACATTATGGTTCATTTAGTTTTGCATTTACCTGATGAAGCAATTTCTGGAGGCCCAGTATGTATGAGATGGATGTATCCCTTTGAAAGGTATATTAAAAAACTAAAAAACTATGTCAGAAACAAGGCGAGGCCGGAAGGTTCTATAGCTGAGGGTTATGTCGCTGAAGAGGCATTATCATTTTGTTCGATGTACCTTGAAGATGTTGAGACTCGATTCAATCGCCTTGAAAGAAACGAGGATGTTATCATAGAAGAAACAAAGCTATGGGTGTTTCAGTCTAAGTGTCGACCAACTAGCGGAAGGAAAATGAAAAATCTCAGTCTAGAGGAGAGAAAACGTCTACATTGGTTTGTGCTTGATAATTGTGAGGAAGTCAGAAAGTATATTGCGTAAGTGTTCTTATCTTTTAATTCATTGTCTTTTTTTAATTTCACATTTTTACTAAATATATATATATTTTTTCATCAATGTAGTGAATTCAAATCATTACATCCTGAAAGTGATGAAAAAATCGAATTTCCTAAATGGTTTCTTCATAAGGTCTATGATATGCAAAAACAAAAATCTCTAGAGTTTAATAAGGAGTTATCAGCTCTTTCAATCGGTGTGCATGCGCATGCCTTTACTTACACCGCTTGCATAGTGAATGGTGTTAGGTATATGGTACTTATGCGTGACGCTCAACGATCAACACAAAACTCGGGGGTTCTAACTGAGGGAGAGCATAAGCAGAAATATTATGGTCAGCTAGAAGAGATTATCGAGTTGCATTATCCACATAAATATTCCACCGTACTTTTTCGTTGCAAGTGGTTCGATACTGCAGGAGTTAAATCTGATAATAATTTCACCACTATCGACCCACAACGCGAATTGAGCAGCGAAGATCAACTCATATTTGCTACGCAGGCCAAGCAAGTATTTTACATCCAAGAACCTTCTCCAAGTGACGAAAATGACACCCAACGGTGGGTTGTTGAAAATGTTAATCATAGAAGAATTTGGGATCTACCGATGAATGATGTTGATCATGATCCCATTGAAAATATCGACAATGATTCAACCGATGTCGTTCTTAGTAATGCTTCTTCCAATTTCACTCTCTCAATTGACTTTAGCCAGTACTTTCAAAATTCTCAATCGATTGAAGATGATATTGAAGTTGACCCACCAACGAGTATCATCAATAATGTGTCTGATTGCGAGACTGATTATGATGAGGAAGATTCTGATTATGATAGTGATGTATCGGCAGACACTGAAGTGTCTGGGGGCGAGAATGATTAAAAAATCTTTTTACATTTAATTAGTAAAATAAGGTTTGTATTTGTTGTAGTCATATTATATATATATATATATATATATATATATATATATATATATATTCATATTGTGTTATAATTTTTCAGGATGTCATTTTTTTGGATTGCATTGCTCCATCTCATGGCTGCTGTGATGGGTCATGGAGGCGACGGTGGTGACGAGCCACCACATCCGTTCGGTGGGGGTTTTGGTGATCACCAAAACGATGGTAATTAAAATCTATTCTAATTCAATGTATTTCACATTGTATGTATATAAAAAATTATTCTGACTAATATTTTTTTTATGCAGTGGTGCTTCCGAAACGAAGAGGCATGGCGGTAAATAAAAAAATGCACAAACTCTATAAAGCTAACGGTGAACGGCCTCTTAAGATAGTATTTGACGTAAATACTAACATGCCGATTGGGGAGGTGTATGAATGTTTTATTCGGGAGGTTGGGAGCTATATGTGGCGGGACATCGGTTTTGATAAAGACACATGGACAGAGGTTTCTGAAGCCGAAAGGGTTGGAATGTTGCAGTATCTTTCGGTAAATTATTTATAAAGTTATATATTTAATATTTTTAATTTTGATTTATTTTTAATATATCTATTTTTTTTGTAGAGATGGTTTGATTTTGACGCGATTACAAATCATCCCATGGCTTCAACTTATTGGGCATCACTGAATAATCGGATATGTGCGCGGTATAGAGGACGCAAAAATATTGCAAAAAAACGTTTTGATGATTTTGCAGGGAATGTGGAGGCAGCAAGGGCTCAAGACCCTAGGGGTATGGATTAGCAGCGTTGGAATGCTGCTATTGACCATTTCTTAACAGAAAAACATCAAAAACGATCCGCTGGAAACAAAGAATGCCGGAAGAAGCAAGTAGTGAAGAATCGTGGAGGGACGTGCAGCTACGGTAGTGCTTGTTTCAAAAAAGTAAGTTACAATAATGTTTATTCAGTTATAACATATTTTTTAATGTTTATTCAACTATAACATATTTTGTAATGTTAAACAGAATTTGAATAGACTTGAAGTATTTCATCGTGCGCATGTAAATAAAAGAGGGGAATTTGTTGATCCATTGGTTGAAGAGCAATATGTAAGTTATTATTACTTAAAAATGAAGTAGATTGTTAATTTTTTTTTGTTAGTTTTAACGTATATTAACAATCTTTGTGAAATACAGAATGCCTTAGTTGCTGAGGTTGCTCTACAGACTCATCACATAGCCGACTCTGGTGGTGATCCAGACACCATTGATTGGATCGCAATATTTGAGAAGGTGTTGGGTACTCGAAGGGGGCATGTGAGAGGTATTGGGCCTAAAGCTTCTTCAACTGCGGGTACAAGTGCTTCATCCCAATGGCAGCCACAATCACAAGCATCGCAACCAACGCAGGTACTTGTTAAATTCTTAAAAAAATTGGTTGCTTTGTTATATTGTTAAGAACTTAATGTATTTGTAGTAACTTTTGGTAACTCGGTAGTTTCTTAAATTGTTATAGACTTAATTGATTTGGTGCTTTGATGGTTTGTTGAATTGTTCATAACTTATTTGTTTGTGACTTAATTGTAGGATGTTGATGTGAACGCTTTTCTTCAAAACCCGGCATTTGTGACGGCCATTGGAGACATTATTCGCTCGTTTAAAAACCAAGTCAACGAGGAAAACAACGATGGGGAGGACGGTGGGGAAGACGGTGGGGAAGACGGTGGGGAAGACGAAGACAACTAGTATTTCTTGTTTTATGATATGGAGGATGTTACTTTTGATTTGGAAAATAGTTTATGTATGATATATATTAAGTGTTTGTTTGAGATTTATTAGATATGGTATGTTTGATGTTTGTTTGGAAAATAGTTAATGGAATATGGTATTTTTGATGTTTTTATATAATATCGTATGTATTTATATATGTATTTCTATCAAAACAACATTTTATAATATATATAAATTAATATTATCAAAAATAAGTTTTTCTTAAAAAAAAAAAAAAAAAAAACATTAGCAGCGACGCCTTTAGAGACGACTACTGTCAATTGTGACGACATGGCCTCCAGAGAGTATCGCCGGAAAAATCCTACCGGTTGCCGGAATATTAATAGGGACGACACTATTTGAGACGACATCAGTGTATTAGAGACGACAGGTATTAGCGACCACAGTATTAGAGACGACATGGGGTATTAGCTACGAACCAATTGCGGCGACGCATTAGCGACGATATGTCGTCGCTAATGCTATTAGCGACGACAGAGATGTTCAACTGCGACGACTTTCGTCGCCGCTAAAGGTTAGTATTTTTGTAGTGATTGGATGCGGAAAGACACAGTAAAGAACAAAATCAAGAACCATGCAAATCAGCCTTATATATATGGAACCACAAAGCAGAATCATTCACCAATAAATACCCTCTCCATTGTTTCTATTTCCTAGAGCTCACATTCTTATATCTTTGTGTTGCTGTTATTCTTATTATTAAAAGAAATGTGGAACAAACTCGTTCCATTGAGTGTTGTAGCACTTACTTTTAACTACCTTGCCTTAGCCTACGAGCCAAGCCCCCTCCAAGATTTTTGTGTAGCCGACTCCAACAGCTCAGGTATTGTCTAATCATTGATTCATTGTCACACATCTAATGTGCTCTTTTAATTACATTTACCTTTTATTTTAACAAACAAAATGTTGTTTAACTTTCAGTCAAAGTAAATGGTGTCACATGCAAGAACCCAATGCAAGTTCAAGCGGAGGATTTCTTCTTCAGTGGGCTACATCTCAGGGGTAACACATCAAACCAATTGGGATCAAAGGTGACCCCAGTCTTTGCGACTCAGTTACCAGGGCTGAACACTTTAGGCATCTCAATGGTTCGAATTGACTATGCACCATGGGGACTTAATCCTCCTCGCACCCACCCAAGAGCCACATAGATTCTTACAGTTCTTGAAGGGACCCTACAAGTTGGATTTGTCACTTCTAATCCTGATAACCGCTTTATCACCAAGGTGTTGCAAAAGGGTGATGTTTTCGTGTTCCCTGTGGGACTTGTTCATTTCCAGCGGAATGTGGGTAATGGAAATGCAGTTGTTATTGCTGCATTAAGCAGTCAAAACCCAGGTGCAATAACAATTGGAAATGCTGTTTTCGGTGCAAATCCTTCAATTCCATGGGATATCCTCGCCAGGGCATTCCAGGTGGATAAGAGTGTGGTGGATCAGCTACAAGCCAAGTTCTAAAGTTACAAAAAGTTACAATTACAAAACGTTTACTGCAGTCGATGTTCGTGTAATTAATCATTTGATTTCATTCATAGGCTTCTTTTGAAGGTATCTTTCAAATTTATTTGTGTGCAATTGTCTTTTCAAGTTTGTATGGTGTACTTTACTTATTATGTTGGTTTGACATGATAATGGTTATATTTAATAGTTTTTATTAGCTAGTGACAACCAAATATTACCTCTAGGCTGTAGATGCGGAATTTACAGTCTTAAATCACACCCGGATGCAAAAAGGGTTGTATAACCAGTAAAATCTAGAAAATATGTCATTATTAAGTTAGGGACTATGAGTGTGGTAAGGGTATATGATAATCAATAAATTGGATATCTTGTTGGATTGTGTTTGGGGAATTCCTTGAAATGGCTGATCAGGCTCACTGAAAACCTGATATCAGGTCTGGTGGCTGAAAGGTATATCAGACTTCAGAAAATCTCAAAATCAATCGCACTTTTCAAATTACTGTTTCCTTTGGAGCTTAATCTTCTAATCTACATATTTATGGGTGTCCTAAACTTTTAACAAATTTTTTCCAAATTTATATATTCCATTCATTTTCTCAAGTGTGTCGTTTTTCCTAAAAATGGAAAATGACAATGTAATACAATTAACTATTGGTTTTGTCCCGGATTGCTCACTAAAGTGATTTTTGTGCAATGTCATTTAAGTTACAAAATTGTTGTCAATTACAACCTTTTTAGCTAGGAAACGGGGTGGGTTTGTATCCTTGATGACCTGGTAATTAAAAACAACATAATAACATATTCTCAAGCCATGTAAGTAACAACACGTATCAGTAAATGAGAATAAAAGCATCTCTTCTTCGTTTTCATTCCATTAATCAAAAACTCTGAGAAATAACTAGGGTTTTCAACTTCTCTATAGAACAAACTAAAGAAGCAACCAAGCAATATCTTTGCCGGGGCTGTGGCCTCTTTCCCAAATAAAAAAAAATTAAAAAAAAAAAAAACAAAAAACAAAAAAGATAAAAGAAACTAAAGAAGAAACCAAGCAATAGCAATATCAACCTCCAGTACTAGAAAATAGGTTTAAAATGTCACGTGGATTATTACACGCACTGATTTAAGATACGCAAATGTGGGTATCGTAAAGAAAATGCCATCTCTTAAAAAATTTGAAGGATTTAAGACACACATTTTTTTGTGCCTTAAAATTACTTGCCGTTTTATAAATTTTTAGGCAAACTCGCGTCTCATCCTTAGTAGCGAAAGGGGGGGGGGGGGCGGGGTCGAGCCGGGACCGGAACGTTATTTTTGTGGATTTTTGGAACCGGGAACCGGAACCAATATAACCGGAACCGGTAGAACCGGCAAAAACCGGAACCGTATTATGCTATTTTTCAAGGACCGGTTCCAACATTTGATGACACGACAAGAACCGGTAGGAACCAGAACCGATAGAACCGCCGGGCCGGTTCGGTTCTTGATTTTGGCCGAAGCCGGTTCCCGGTTCCGGTCCGGTTCAGGCCGGTTCCAACCGGTTCGGTCCTTTTGCTCATCCCTAGATGGAATCATTCGCCAAACCAGTAGCTCCCACCGCTACACCATCATCGGCTCTGGATAACCCTAACGCCGACATGGATTCCTGTATGGAGAAATTAGTCAACCTGCGTTTTCATGGATCCATAGAAGAAGAACAAAGATGGAAAAATGGTAGTAGTTCGAAGAGTTAAATTGGGTTCATAGGGTTTAGAGGTATCAGCTCAGGGTTTGGGTTTTATGGGCATGTCTGCTTTCTATGGAGCCCTAAAACATGAACCTGACGTGATCAAGCTCATCTACCACGCCATTAGGGACCCGATTTCTTGTTCTTCTTTCTTTTCATTACTCTACTACATTTTCTCTTATTTAAACCCAAAAGCACGAACCAATTTGTGACTTTTTATGGGTTTCTTCGATACAGATATGTGACTTTTTGAGGTTTTAATTGAATCAAACTGAAGAAATAAATAGATTTATTTTTTTTCTCTGTGTTCAAGTGCAGACGAGTTCTCCTTTTCCTGTTTCTACTTTTTCTTTGTGCATTTTCCTACAATTAGGGTTTGTTCAGTACGAATCATGAATTGAAGGGAGTGTTTCTTGTTCTGTGACGATAGAATTCTTCTTCAACTTCCGCAAATAGTTTTTTATTGTATCTGTTGTGAGTGTAAACCTACTTGGGTGTGAACCTGCCATGAGTAGCTGCACCATCCTCTTTAGTTGACAAATGAATGCCTCCTTTGTTGACAATAACAACTAGAAATGGCAGCCTCTTTATTTCATACGATGAACACAATAAATTGCCACAGTACTTATAGTGGCTAGCTTTAGTATAAATAGAAGTTGTAATCTGAGTTGTAAGGCACCACAAAAACAGAGAGTGTAGTGAGTAATACTTAGAGTAAGTATTAGAGGGTTGTTTCTTTTTCTTGTAATATTGAGTGTATAAGCTCTTCTCTTTTGTTCTAGTTCTGAATAAAAGTGTGTTTCAACCCCAACAAGTGGTATCAGAGCTTGGTTAAGCTCCGGGGGAGCATTCTTTGTGTTTTGGTTGAAAATTTTTTTATCTCAAAAACAATTTCGGAGTACACCATTGGAAAGTTCTCGTTCCGAGGATTCCGAAAATATATTTTTTGAATTTTTTGACCACCGGAAAGCTTCCAAATCGCCGGTCAAAGTTGGTCAAAAGTCGCCGGAAAGTTGGCCGGAAAAACCAGTGTTCGTCGGAGAAGACGACACTGTAGCGAGTACTGTAGCAGCACTGTAGCAGTGACGTCATCAGTGACATAAGCGGCTGACCGAAGTTCAGAAAATTGCAGTTTAGCCCCTGTTCTTCCGAAAAGTGCAATTTAGCCCCTGTTTTTCAGAAAAATTGCATTTTTTGTCCCGTTTTTCAGAAAATTTTCAGTTTAGCCCCTGTTTTACGTCTGTAAAAGTTCTATTTGCACCCTGAACTTCTGAAAAGTTCATATTGGTCCCTGTACTTCAAAAAAAAAATTAAAATAAAAAAAAATAAAAAAAATCATTATTATGTATGCCCAAGTTTATGCCAAAAATGACTACACCAACTTTGTCATCTTCTCAAGCTGAAGATGAAAATTTTCAAAGGGCTGGGAAAGACGGTAGTGTTACGTTACACTATCCAATGCTCACGAAGATGAACTACGCGGTGTGGGCCATAAAAATACGAGTGAATTTACAAGCACAAGGAGTATGGGATGTAATTAAAAATGCAGAAACGGACGTACGTAAAGATCGGATGGCTCTTGCAGCTATTTATCAAGCAATTCCAGAGGATGTACTTCTGATGTTAGCTGAGAAGGACATGGCTAAAGAAGCATGGGAAACGCTTAAGATGATGCACATGGGAGCCGATCGGGTCAAAGAGGCTAAAGCTCAAACCTTGATAAGTGACTTTGAGGTGATCCGGATGAAAGACAGTGAATCGGTAGATGATTTTTCCATGAGATTGAATATTATCGTAACCGGTATTCGATCTCTAGGTGAAAAGATTGAAGAAATAATGGTTGTGAAGAAGTTTCTGCGAGCCGTACCGATACGATTTATACAAATCATAACATCTATCGAGCAATTCGGAGATTTGAAGAATATGATGGTGGAAGAAGTTGTGGGTCGTCTTAAGACCCATGAAGAGAGACTTCGAAGCTATGGAGAAAAAGAAGGAGGACCTTCTCTATTGCTTACACATGCCGAGTGGGCATCTCGTTCAAAGCAAACTAGAGAGAGAAACTCGTCAAACACTTCAAGAGGACAAGGAGGACATGGTAACCGAGGCCGAAGTCGTGGACGTGGCCAAGGAGGTGGTCGCGAGTACAATACAAATCGGAATGACCATAATCCTTCTCGAAAGGATAAAAGTAAAACCAAATATTTTACTTGTGAACAATTTGGTCATTATGCATTGGAGTGTCCAAACAAGAATCGAGGTGAGGAGGCGAACCTCGCTCAAGCCAACGAAGAAGAGCCTATTTTGATGATGGTAGCCACACAAGAATATGCAAACAAAAAGGTGTCTCTAAGAGAAAAGATTTGTGTTAATCTTCTTACATCTGGAGAAAGTCGAGTCGTGTCCGAGGTATGGTATCTCGACAACGGTGCTAGCAATCACATGACTGGAGACCGCTCAAAGTTTCGCGAACTAGATGAGCACGTTACGGGTCACGTGAAATTTGGGGATGGTTCGTCCGTCACTATTTTAGGAAAAGGGTCGATTTTAATCGATAGCAAAAATGGTGACCAAAGAATCCTTAATGAGGTATATTTCATTCCAAGTCTAAAAAACAATATTATTAGTCTTGGACAAATGACGGAGGAAGGGAGTCGGGTCATAATGGATGGCTCGGATCTGACATTGTTTGATAGAAACAAAACTCTACTTTTGAGAGTTAAACGATCCCCAAACCGGTTATATAAAACTCCTTTAAGGACTGGTAGACCGACTTGTCTTTTAGCAACAAAAGACGAACCAGATTGGATATGGCATTCTAGACTCGGTCATGTTAACTTTCCCGCCTTAAAGAAGTTGTCCGAAAAGAATATGGCAATCGGAGTCCCAAAGATTGAGCACCCAAACCAAGTATGTGAAGGGTGCGTTCTTTCCAAACAAACCCGAATTCCTTTCCCGGATCATGCAGTTTTTCGGGCTCAAAAACCTCTACAACTTGTTCATGCGGACTTATGTGGTCCGATCACACCTACATCTGTTGGAGGGAGTAAATATTTTCTCCTTTTAGTAGATGATTTTAGCCGGTGGATGTGGGTTTACATGCTATCAGAGAAGTCTCAAGCCTTGAGCGCTTTCAAACGGTTCAAGTTGATGGTTGAAAAGAATTCAGGTTATCAAATAAAGATACTTCGAACGGACCGAGGGGGAGAATTCACTTCAAAAGAATTCTCATTATTTTGTGAAGAAAATGGTATTCAAAGGCATCTTACAACAC